CCATTAAAACCTTCAAAGAAGAACTATGGGATGATAAAATGTTAAATCTGGATTCTAGAGAAGGTACATTCTGGTCTTTAATCAAAAATTTTAAAACTTCCTTCACAAGTAATCGACCCCTCTATGACAGAGGTAATATTGCCATCTCCAATCAGGAAAAGGCAGAAATCTTCGCAGCACACCTCCAAGAACAGTTCTCGCCAAATGATTGGCCAAATGACTCTGATTTCGAATTAAAGACCCTCCTACGAGTAAGGGATTGGCTCAACGCCCCTTCAGTCAGACTTCCGATTAAATATGCCACTCCTACTGAAACGACTAATATTATCAAACACCTGAGACAAAAGAAATCTCCAGGAATTGATGAAATCAGCAATACAGCAATTAAAAATTTGCCGCCTAACATCATCTGCAGCCTGACAAGTATTTTTAATGCTTGTCTTGCTCTTTCTTACTTTCCAACACCTTGGAAAATTGCTAAAATTATTTTACTACCTAAACCGGCTAAAGATCACACCCGACCAGACGGATATCGTCCTATTAGTCTACTGCCGGGCTTAGGCAAAATTTTTTAGAGAATTATCCTGAATAGACTGAAACCATATTTTCAGCATCTTCCGCCGGAACAATTTGGGTTCCGTGCTCACCTCTCAACAACGAAGCAACTTGTCCGAATAACCGAATTCGCTGGTGCAGCTCTGCACTGCAAAGTTAATGTTGCTATACTCATGCTAGACGTGGCGAAAGCATTCGACCGCGTCTGGCATGAGGGCTTAATTGCTAAATTAATTGACCTTCAACTGGACAGAGAACTCATTCTGCTAATCCATTCTTTTATCAGGGATCGGACATTCAGAGTTTTGGTAAAAAATGAATTATCCAGCACTAAAATAATGACTAGCGGTGTTCCACAGGGTTCTGTGACTGGCCCTATACTCTATCTATTCTACGTTTCAGACTTTCCGAGATTGCATTTAAATCATAATTCTATGCTAGCCTGTTATGCAGACGACACTGCCCTGGCAGTGAAGTCTGCTAACATCAATCATGCTATTCGGAAACTCCAAGACACTATTCCCTCCATAGAACAATGGTGTGGATATTGGAAGATACGAATTAACGCTCAAAAATCGCAGCTCCTACTCATAAGGAAAAGGAAGAAAAATGTTCCGATCAGGCAAAGTGTTTATCTTTTTAACGAGGCTGTGCCTATCGTGAAACAAGCCAAATATCTGGGCATCACCATCAACGACAAGCTCACATGGCAGCATCACATCCAACAAATCAGGGATAAAGCGATTAAAGTCATGAAATGTTTATATCCTATGATAGGGAAATATTCAAAACTTTCGTTGGACAAGAAACGACTTATTTATCTAGCCACAATCCGACCCATCATGACGTACGCTTCGCCAGCATGGACTACCGCTACGAAGGGTGAAATCCAAAAATTACAAGTTGTGCAAAACCAATTTTTAAGAATTATCACAAATGCACACCCGTATGTGAAGAACAAACGTCTCCATGAAGATTTAAAAATGGATACAATAGTGGAATATTTAAGAACTAACACGGCATTTTATGACGCCGCTAAGGAGTGCCAACATATGGACATTTTCAACCTATTTCACTATGAAATTTTACACGAGGACAGGCACCTCCGTCCATATGCCGCTTTTCTACTCAGTGGAAACCAGGATTTTCCAACATAATTTGTGTTTTTAAGTATGTAGTACTCTGAAAAACTTATTTGACTTGTAAATAATGATGTTTAGAAATCTTAGCCGGATGATCATGTGACACACACAGCCACGCCCACAAGATATTACTTATATTTTTCCTGTATATACTATTTTACTTTTTGGAATCGTATTTTATTTTCTGCATTTATGACTGCAACACACACCTTTTATGAACTGATTTAGTACTATTTTATGTATAACTATTGTAAAACTTCAGATTTACAGCGCTACGATGCCTGGATACCTCATCGCCAACCAGATGTCTTATCGCTCATCACGTGACATTGGTCACACCCCCTGCATCTGCTATCCTGTCTCCACGAGAACTACGTTCGGCATTTCCTTACCTGCAGCGCTCCTAGAAGCACCAAAGTTCGATAGCCGGAACACAACCTGCGATTTCGCAGGTTAATCGCGGCAAATAAAGCAAGTTGGAGTTGGAGTTGTTCGAATTAACGACTTTTGACTGTAATTGCCAGTTTTCAGAAGTTATAATTCAGTGTAGTGTAATATTTAATTTATCTTTCACATTAAAACTTCAAAAATAATGAGCATCCTTTTTTATATCTTTATTTCATTTTGATTTTTATAATAATTAAGAGATAGAAGTCTTCAAAGGAATATAACTGCAATTTGTTTTAAAATTTATTAAGATCTATAAAGAAGGCAATACAAGAACATGTCATATATGCATAAGAATTTTGGTCCTTGTTCAGTAGCAAGAGGTTTAAAAAAGGAAGAGAACGTTCTGACTGGCTTCCCAATGTAATCTATATATCTTCAAGATTTTGCCATCAAGTAACTTCCTGAATTCTAAAAATTATGTCACCTGTACTTCACCAGGTGACTAGTCCTGTGTTTTAGACACCATACACTGACAATACTGAAAGAGAATTGTCATTTCATTAAGCTCCAGACTTTGAATGCTGTTTTCAACTTTGAATTAACAATTTATTTTATTAATTTGATCTGAAGTGTATGAAATCGGGAAAATTTATCTTATATTAAAATAAAAAAAAGAAAAACAATATTTTTATTTGCATGCATAAAAGACCTGGGCAGTTTGGAAACATACACTAAAGTTTTAGCATTTTCCTAAAATATGATTAAGTAAAAATAACCTCGACTTGACAATATCCTGATTTAATGAAAAATTTCATGAATTATGTCACACTTTGATTACTATTAATTGTTTGAAATGATATTTTTGCATCCTTAATTGACAAACTTAATGACTATAGCACAGGGAATTAAAAAAAATTACTGAATTTAATTCAATGAACTTTTCATTAAGTCACTCGTGGGCAAAATTAAGAGAATTTGCAAATTATGTTTATTTTTAAGAAAAGTTTTGAATCTAAGGTACTAATTATGCCGCCAAAGAATTATGCAAACGTTCAGAGTCGAATACGTAATCGTACATGTGCGTATCTGCGGAGCTATGATCGTGAAAAGAATGTAAGCGCACGAAGGGTGGTTTTCAACAATTTATTACAATACTGCATATTAATCTGCATTGTGATTGCACCTGTATATATTTGTGTATATTTGATATCTCCTTTTTTTAATATCTAAATTGTATTATACTTCATTTGTATTCTTATTTCATTGCCCCTTTGCTGTGTATATCAGAGACTTCGAGGATTTTTTCATCCCTCCCTCCATTTCATGTGTTCTATAACCACTAGTTGGCACCACATTACAGTAAATCACCTATCTGCATGTTGGAAAATTTTTTATCACCAGTTCGGACTAGCGTCCACTTCTGCGATGGAATCAAAGAGTTAAATGCAATGGTAGCCACAGTAATTTGCTATAGAGTTTCGCCGATTACGGTGTGTATGTATAAAGCCAATGGCCTAGAAGAGTTCTCCCAGATTCGGGTAAAAACCAGTTAGTTACATGCCTGTTTCAAAGCCACGCTCGGCAATTAACGGTAGATTGTCGCCAGATGAATCAGAAGCGCAGGTAGTTAAAGAGCTCAATGTGATACCCAGTGTCGTCAGCAATTTATGGAAACAGTTTCAGGACTTTGAAAAGTTCGACCAAGATCCACAACCAAGGTCCAAAGCCGACCAAAATCGACAACGACGATTGAAGCTCACTATTTGTCTCTTTCAGCGCTGCTCATAATTTTAAATAAGTTTGAATAATTCGTACAGAACTGCTACAGATTAACAACTCTCACCTGAGCTGTATGCTGCCGCTGAAATCCGAGTTTCACGGTTTACAGTTGTCTGAAGACTTCATGTTAATTTATTTTACCGATGTTTATTTAGAGCTTTATTGATAATCATGAGACATAAAATGACTTGGAATGTCACATTCCTTTCTTTGTTATAAATGTATATTCATCGCGTAATTTTAAAATAATTCATATTCAGCGATTTTAAGTGATTTACAATAAATTTGACAGATGAACTCCTGTGTAAATAGAAAGTTTAAGAAACATTAATGAAGTTCTTCTATATTTATGTCTTTATTCTAAACAACGCAACACCTAACTGAAATAATATATCGTTAGTTTCGCTTTCAGTTTCAGGATAGTTCTAAAAAATTAAGTTATTTCAACTTTTTTAAAAATTAACAGTATTCAGGATCTTACCTGTTTTTGAGGTGATCCTCTCTACTTCTCAAGGTTCCATATGATTTCGATCTTGTGCGAAAGTGATTTTCAGTACCGATATTAGTCTTAGAAATATTTTGTTCTTTTCAGAGATGGACGCAACTAGAGAGTTTACTGCATTTTGTTTTATTCCGTCACAAATAAGGTGATGAACGATTTCATCACGTTTGAATATTTGTGAATGATTTCATGTTATGCCCTGTTAATTAAATAAAGGGAAACTTTTTTAAAATTATTTCGTGTGATATTTGAATATGATGCAAATGTTATGCCATTTTTTTTAATCATATTTAAAGACAATATCCACATTTTTTTTTTAAAGCTAACTTTTAACAGTTACCGTTATTGAATCTAAGAATCTCTAGAAACTATGCATTTTCGTCTCACAAATATAATATAATAATAATGTAACTGTTCAATAACAGACTGACAATACTTTTTATAAATTTTAAATAAGTTTGAATAATTCGTACATTTATCAGTTAACCAGATTTTTAAATCGCTATAATTTAAACACTTTTTTTTTAATATGCTTGGCACTTTTTTCATTTTTGGCATTGCGAACTTGGTATATAACATTATTCGAATTATCGAAAACAGTTTTAAAAAATTATATTTGAGAATGCAGGTCATGATATAAAGAATTATCGCATTTGGCCTTTGCCTGTTCTCATGACTAGCACGTCCAGCTGTCATGAAGACCAAACATTAGCTTATTCTTGCTGATTTTTTATGGCAGTTTATGTAGCACCGATGTGCGTAATAAAAAAACTGCCCATTAAATTATTCATAAGTCAAATGAAACAGTTTACACAGTTCTTTTTAAGCTGTACAGATATTAAACTATGCACGATTAGCTAAAAAATTATTTTATTTTAGTAATTGAGTTTTGTACATGCACTTTAACACATTGACTGCCATGTACATCATCGATGATTCATAGCGGCCTTACTTTTCGGAGCCATGCTCATCGAATGTGACTCAAATTTTGTATTGTTTTGAAGCTGTGTGAGTCATCGGTGCTTCACAAATGGATCAATTTATATGGTTAAAATTATTTCTACATTCAGAAAGTTGTTCGTATTCTTGGTTTCGGCTTCTGGAAGCTTTTTTTCATAGATTATTATCTGATTTTAATATAGATTTTGCTGCAATAAGTAATCATTATTTATGAAGTAAAACAACGAAGTTATAATTAAATGGGATTGTGTTGTTTATTGAAAGAATACAAGACTAGCGATATTTTTTAAGATGTTTACACATTCACTAAGTTATTTATTTTTGGTTATGTATTATGTTTTATTATTTGTATTGTAATACAGTATTTGTCTAATTTTACCAATTTTTCCTATTGAGACATAGAACTCTTGTGTTAATTTACAATGAACTGAAATGTAATAAATTTATTGTTTAAATATAAATAGGATTTATATTTTAAACCTGTTATTTATCTATTTATTAAATATTCATAAAAATATATTCAGATTAGGTACTGAACTGATTTTTAGGATAAAGGAGACACGAAACCACTAGAATTAAAAAAAATGATCCGACAGACTATTTTACCAGATTTTGCTGTGGCACTGTGGTTAAATAAAGATTACACACCCACGTGTTAAATAAAGATTCTTTTCAAGTACCCTAAAAAACTTTGATTTTAGAAAACATCAATTATGTCCGTGAAGTATTAGCAAGTTTGTTATATTATAATACCGCTGCCATGGCTTCAGCCATGGCATGCGAGTCCCCAGAGCGAAATAATGATATATTTCATTATTTCGCTCTTTATTATCCATTAAAATGGGGGTATCGCCTCAACCAGAGGTTCATTGTAGCCCTAATAAGTCTGTAGAGTTCCAAAAAAAGGTGAATTTCAAGATTTAATAATGTCCTTATTCTTCAGAAACACAATTTGGGTACAGTAAAATTAAATAATCATGTTAGAAAATTAATTTCTTTAAAGTTTGCACAGTAAACACCACGTGATGCGAGGTGGCCAATAGCGAGTGAAGGAGTCATAAGACCGCGAACTAAAATTTTCACTGAAAGCAAAGTCTTTGCTTTAAAACACTACACAGTACTAAATAAATTCTTGGTTAAATGAAAATAATAAGTAAGAAATGTAAGTTGCAATCAAAGTCCATAAGCTTTGTCAGAGCATAGTCCATAACGTAAACTGATCTTGAGTAATGAAGAGTAATAAGATACGTAAAATAAGTAGAAATAAAAGATATACACTGTACACTACCACCATAATGCATTATGATGTATAGTTCGCGGTCTTTTATCTGTGGGTTCTTTAATGGCTAGGTATTGTGAGTCAAAGAAGTTGTGTGCTGTAGTTAGTATTTGATCATGAATCGCGAGAATATTTAAATTCTTATGGATTTGCGTGTTCCGCACAAACCAAGGGGCATTTGTTATGCTACGGAGAATCTTATTAGGTAAGACGTTTTTTTTTCTAGCGTTCAGTTTATCCGGCAGTTGCCCATGCAGGAACTGCATAGAGTAGAATTGGTCTGATGAGGGTGATATAAAGATTTCTCTTAGTATTCAGATTTAATTTAGATTTCCTTCCAAGCAGGGAGTAAAGAGACATAAATGCTGCATTAGCTTTATTGATGGTATACTGGATATGGTCCTTGAAATTTAAAGCTTTGTCGACGTACACTCCTAGGTATTTATATGAGCTTGCTACTGGAACAGGTGAATTATCTATTTTAATATTGGAATTAACTGGAAAATTTTTTCTGTATCTGCGATATAAAACAACCCAACATTTATCTGCGTTAAGTTTAATTTTCCAAATTTCACAGTATTTGTTGATTAGATTAGCTTGCATTTGGAGTTTGTCAAGACCATTTTGTGGATTTCTAGAGCTGGTTAAGATAACTGTATTGTCCGCATATTTATAAATACTTGAGTGTAGTGGGACAGGCATGTCATTTATAAAAATATTAAAATATTTCGGTCCTAAAACAGACCCTTGAGGGACGCCTCGGAAAATCTCTTTCTTGATGAGAGAATTTCTCCACATCTTTACTTGAAACGTGCGACAGTAGAGATAAGAGTAGGTAAGTTTAATGAAGCTATTAGGCAGAAGGAAATTTGACAATTTGTGGAGTAAGCCAAGCATGCCAGACTCGGTCAAATGCCTTCTCAAAATCGAGAAAGCATGCTGCTACTCCATTCTTTTTTCTAAATTCTTGGGCGATAAATTCTACCAGGTGGAGTATCTGATGAGTAGTACAGTGTCCCTTTCGGAAACCAAATTGGTTCCTATCAATGCCAATTTGGTAAGTCTTGTACTGATGACACGTTCAAAAACTTTGCAGAGAGCCGGTAACAGGCTGATGGGTCTATAATTTTTGGCATATTTAAGGTCTTTTCCAGGTTTCAAGATGTTAATAATTATTGAATGCTTCCACTGAGAGGGAAAATAGCAGTGACGAATGCATGCGTTGAAAATATTGGTGATAAGTACTATACATCTGTTAGGCAGTGCAGATTCTTCATTTGAGATATTATCAAAGCCTTGGCTTTACGTTTTTTGATAATTTAGTGGCTTTATTATGGCTTTTAATTATGATAGCATTTTCGCCTCCTCTGTTGTGGGGTCTATCCTCTCTGATAGCCATGAATTCTGAATCTGTCACAAGCTCGAAGATGTGTTTCATTGACTAACATGACATCAATGTCATGTTTTTGGAGGTCGGAGATCGGAGATCATCATTCGTTAAGTGGTGTTCAACCCAAAGGCCTTTACCACTACATGTTTATGTTTATCCATCCCCTAAGGACCTGTAAAAGTTATTTTTGGAGGTAAGAGATGAGCTGAGGTTGTTGCTTACGGATACCGTTAGCATTGAAGAAATTAATTTTTATAAAGCTTTTGGTAGCTAAAATAAGATTAGGAATATTATGAATCGGCTTAAAATTCATAATCAATATTTGACAGATAATCAAAAACGGCCATGCCGACCTCTAATTTTTCAAATATTCCTTTAGCATTTTTAAAATTTTTAGAAGAAATCTTTAATTTGTAACTTTAACCTCTCATAAAATCCTAATTGGCTAGTTTTTGATCCTTTCGGTTGGTTTTCATCTCTGGATGGCATTGTTGCCAGGCAGGACTACGTTTAGGGATCTCCTTCGGATTGAGCGCCGGGAATTCATTTTTGTCGTAATGGAATTGATTCTTCGTCGCTTCTATTTTGGCTTTAATTTCTTCAATCTGTTTCTGTATATTAAATGGGTGCTTAGGGCAACCTTTAAAAGAAGAAATGTGATCTGCTCCGCAGAGGGCACAGACTGGAGGTTTATCTTTATCATTTTTTGTTTGGGAGCAAGTATAGGTCTCGTGAGGTTTTTTGCACATTTTAAACAGCATGCTTTGTATTTGCGGCGATCCCGTGTATGCCCGTACCGCTGGCACTTATGGCATTGCATGGGGCCAGGGCGAGATTTGTAAGGTTTCCACGAACACGTCGAGTCCTCTTAATTTCTTTATGTCATATATAGCTTTACCTTCTTTATTGCGGGTGCATTCAGCTAAGTATACAGGTAAATGGATAATTTTCCCCTCAATAACATGAGTGATTTGACGGTTTTTTTGGATGGGTATTTCCATTTCTTTTATTTCAGATTTGATACGTTCAATATTAGCAGTCTTTGGCAGTTTCTCGATTATAGCTTTAATGGGTTTCTCGATGTTCATTTTAAAAGTATGGTAGGGAAGTTCAAGTTTATCTAAAAAATCAGTGAGCATTCTGTAATGTTCAGAGTCGTAAACTCTGATGGTAAGAGTTCCACCGGATAAATTTCCGCGGAATTTTTTGATTTGTAACTTTTCTTCAATAGCATCTTTTAATTTGTCCCAGTCGCCTGCAAAGTCGGCTAGGACAGTGGGAATATGGTTTTTGTTGGGGCTATAAAATCACCCTGCTCGTTAGTAGAATCCATATTGTCTTCGAGATTTAATTCCTGGAATTTGTTTTTCTGTGCTGGCTCATTAACCTCTGCGTTTGAAAGAGTGCGTTTATGTGTGTTATGCGAGGTGTAGTAAAACCTTCTTTATCCGTTATGTTTTTCTTACGCTTAATTTTAGCGTTAGTAGATTCGGTAGATTTATTAGTTTCCATAGTAGCTGGGAGTAATTAGTGGGTTCATCCTCAGTTTGAGTTCAATAACGTACTGGCTTAGTGCTGCGATTTGATTTTTGAGATCATTAAGATAAGCTAATTATTCCTCGGACTGATTGGGAACATCTCTAAGTGAGTAATATTCTTCCTCTAGTTTTTG